GTAAGTACATTGTTCACTTCAGTATTTTACTTGCATCTTTTATTAGTATATGTTTCAGATTAAAAAAAACACACACAATTTGCCTAATGGAAAATTGTCGTTGAAAAATTAACAATTTTTTACCACGTGCTTTGGTTCATATCTTGATGTTATTCGCAGTAGGCTTTTTTTTGTTAGCGATATCATATAGCCGAATATTCGAAATGGTTTTGATATGCTATCAAATGCTAAATAAATACATTTATAAAAGTGGAACGAAAGATACCAGACGGACATTCAAACTCATCAATCAGAAATAAACTGACAACGCCAGGGTTAAAAAAAAGACAAATAGACAAACAATAGTTGATCCATTGGTTTGATGTGTTTGAGCTTTTGATTTTGCCCTTGGATTAGATACATTCCTTTTTGAATTTTCACGGAGATCAGTATTTTTGTGATTTGACTTTACACAAAACACAACATAGAGAAATTCAAACTAAGCAACACGAGTTCCACCAAAAACTGAATTGTCAAAGTCTTTTAACGTGGCATATACTATTTCATGGTTTTGAATTATTCAAAACTACTGGATATTGAGATTCGTGTATTATTTATACCAATAAAACAAAATTAAAAGATTTAAATGCAGTGTTGTATAGATAACATTTTAGAATAAGTTTATTTAAAGCATTGATAAATTAAGTTTACCTGGATCGTATATAATTTCCGGGCTGGGTTAATTACATAATTTAGAATGTGCTAATCCGTTTGAAATAAGTCGTTTACATGTACAGCCAATCTTACAAACCAAAACTTAATATCAATCAAAGAAGGTAGTAAAGGTTTTAAGTAATTTGTGATTTTTATGTACGTCGCAGTTTCATTTGTAATCAAAGTTACATTGTTTACCCATAAGAATGGATTAAACATCCATAACATCATCAAATTGTTTAATACGTTCGTGTTTTAAGATATCCTATTATGTAAAACATTTTACAGAAAATACAAAACTATATGGTTGCGAAAATAACACAACGGCCTGTAAATATCCTCTTGTTGATTACAGAACTGACAAAATCGATAACAGATACTATTCATCAATAAGGTTTCTCAGTCACAAAGTCACCTTAATCAGTCAATCATAAAGGCCTACACAAAAAGATAAAGACTGTTTGTATGAATTTAACACCTCATATGAGATATTCGCGATAAACAAAAGATACAACGAATATAGAAAAGAATTCGAGAAGGGTTTGTGTTCAGTAATTGCCAGAGTAACTTTAGAGGGATAATCATATCAATTAAACGTAATTTAAACTATAAAATAATTCATAATTCTACAGACAAAAATGGGAGCATAATTGCGATAATTTAAAAATCGATGAATGTAACAACTACAAAAGTCATGATATAAAAATGAATAGGGATACTGGAAATTAAATTAAAGTGTTTTGAACATTATCATACGTGTATTCGCTGATAGTGCCATCATCCTAGAATGGTCTTGATATAAACTTGTATTGGGTCAATTCACAATTTTGTTCGTTTGCAGTTTGTATATAGTTCATTTAAGTTTTTATTTAGCTGGAATATCAAATAATTTGGTACTATTTTGAGATGTTTTCTTCTTTTTCTGGGGAAGAATGTGATCAACCTGCTCAGTAACTATGAAGTGGAACAATTCATATATAGAAGAAACACGTAAATAAAAACTGGAAAGGTACCGAATTTCCATGTATAATACATGAAATAAACATAAATTAAACATACGATGGATTATTTGTTGAACTACTATATATGCATAAAGGAGGATGTGGCCTGCAGAGAATAACAGCATTGGCCCTAGCTTATATCAATTCATATTTATGGTTTGCAATGAAAATAAGTGACATAAACTTTCACAAACATGATACACGATATGTAATATACACAAGTTTAAACATATATGTTTTTTCTATTTGAATGGTTTTACACTTTTTTGGGGACCCTCTGTGGCATGCTGTTAGGTGTAAGCCAACGATTCGTGTTGAAGGCCGTACTTTGAACTTTAACTGTATAATGGTTTACTTTTACAAAATGTGACTTGGATGAAGAGTTGTCTCATTTGCACTCATACCAAATTTTCTTATATCTATGTATCTATACCCGTTTAACTACAGACATACTCGTTGACCCAACCTGTATCAAAATAGTGTCTGCCTAATCAGGTCTTTTCTGAAAATGATAGTTATTGTCTTCAACATAACCACTTAATTATACTGACAAAATCTTCTGTGATTTTGAAACATATATTAACCAACCATTTACAAGCAAGTCAGTGAAAGATTGTACAATTACGAATCGTATAACGCGGAGCTATAACCCTCTTTCTGCAAAAGGACATTTATGATTTTTCCATTCTGTAGTGACTTTCCGTTTTGAATATTTCTGTGAGTTCGGTATTTTCTTATTTCACTTTTTCTGGCTCATACACACAAAATGTATCTATAAATTAGAACGTCAATGGTTCATGGTATCAAACCAATATAGTCGGGTATTTTTTGACGTCGCATTTAAAACGCTTGTAGAGTGAATAAAGTTAAATAAATATAATGATTTTATACTTGAAACGAATGTAAACGAACAATATAAAACGGTTGCAATTAGTATTTTGCCAATAAGCGTAGTTATGTCGTTTGGATTTTTTTCATGCATATCATGCTTTCATTCGAGTAATATCTCCTTCCTCACATAAACAATGCATGTTATTGCACACAGTACCAAGAACTTTTAAGGGTGACTACGGAATAGCAATATGGTCAATTTTTTTACAAAAATATAATGCTCATCGATATATCACGTTGCACATCTGAACAAAACGGAAACATCTGATGTTCAAATATCACATTCGAAAAAGAACACCATTAGATATTGATAAATGTACATAACACATTATGGACTCGAGATATATTTTAGAATATGGGTAGTGCCGGGTTTAATTTTATTCTGCAAAAGTCTAAATATCATTTCTTGAGAAGAAATTATTGACCTAAATCTTTATCAGATTGTATACATTCAATTAGAAAGAACACCAGTTTTAACAGCGAGAAGAGTAGCGAAAGATACCAGGGGGACAGTCAAATTGATAGATCGAAAATAAACTGACAACACCTTGGCTAAGAAATAAAAAAACAAACAGACAAATAATAGTACACAAGACACAACATAGAAAACTAAAGACTAAGCAACACGAACCCAAACCAAAACTGGGGGTGATCTCATGTTCTCCGGAAAGGTAAGCAGATCCTGCTCCACATGTGGTACCCGTCGTGTTGCTCATGTTATTACAATCCCGGTAAATAGTCTAATTCGGTAGGTCATAATCGTGGTGAAAAGGGAAGTGGATTGTAGTCACGACATAAGGAACATATCCGATTTCATCTGTGAAATTAGGGAAATTAGGAAGAAGTTTTTATCGTTAAACAAAAAACGTATTGAAAATAATAATTAAACAACGCATATAACCCGAAAAAAGTTATTATTATTGATATTTCATCAGCTTTTTTTAATATTCAACATAATATGCCATAGCATATTCGACATAACATTGTCATCTCTTGTTGTTATATATGTGCAGTGTCAAATATTTTATATATTCGATCTTTTAAACAGTTTGAAAAAGAAGAAATGGAGGCCAAATCAACAGTAGCCGAACAAACATATGATGGACTTTTATCGGACAATGCATCATTAAACACAGTAATTGAATGCCTCAATGAACAGTACGTACTTTGAATGAACAAATACTTAAAAATCAGTTGTTTAGGTGAAAATAAAAAGATGTGGTAGTATTGCAAATGAGATAACTATACACCAAAGTTCAAATAAAGTGGATGTCAGCAATAATTGGCAGTTTTTGTTTAGGGGCTAGCTGACGCACGCCTTCTGGTGCAGGATTTTCTCGCTGTGTTAAAGACCAATTGGTGGCCTTCGGTTGTTTGTTGCTCTTTTGTCGGGTTGTTGTCTCTTTGGCATATTCCCCATTTTGATTCTCGATTTTATCTTTAGCCATCAACAACCAGAAAACTCAAAACTACGTAGTCGGCTACAAAATATGAAACAATTCAATTGAGAAAAAAATAGAGTACTAACTTATAACAATAAGAATTTTTGAAAAAAATTTCTTACTAAAACGAACCAAGGTTAACCACTGAAATACATGCTCCTTACTTGTTACAGACACACATAGAATGTCATGGTTGTGGCGGGGTTGAACATGTTTTTTGGCACTTAAAACGCTCCTCTTAACCTGGGACAGTGGAGGAACAGAACAACATAAGAACAAATTATGAAAATCCATACAAAGCACACACATATCTAACAAAAATCAGAACCGATGTGGCAGTGTATTTATACAATCATCTTAAACAACACAAAATAAACAGTACCGATCTGAGAGTACTCGCAGTTACTGACAGTTATTTCCAAGTCATTAAAAACTCATGTTTTTAAGTTGTTTGATAGTAGCCGGTTGAATACCGTAATGGATTTTGTTATTCGAGGGCACATATTTGATTTTTATAATCAGACATGGGATAATAGACTTATGTTTCTAGGTTTGCTCAACTGTTTCGTATAAAAACTAATTATAAATAAAATGGATGTGTAGAATAATTCCTGTTTAGATGGTAATTTGGAGTTTAGTATGACGACCAGTATCACTGAACTAGTATTCATATTTGTTTAGGGGCCAGCTGAAGGACGACTTCGGGTGCGGGAGTTTCTCGCTGCATTGAAGACCTATTGGTGGCCTTCGGCTGTTGTCTGCTCTATGGTCGGGTTGTTTTCTCTTAAACACATTCCCCATTTCCATTCTCAATTTTACATGTTGTCCTGGAAACGATGAATAATTTGTACAGTTTGAAACGTCATTAAGGAGCAACAAATGCATAACAAACTGAGTTTGGATGTCCCTCTCGTATCTTTCTTCCGTCTTTTAATGGATTGTTATTAATTGAATTAGTTTTTTTTTATATTAGGATGAAAGACTTAAAAGCACAGCTGAAGGAACAGTATGTTATCATAGAAAAAATAAGTAGTTTATATTTCGTTATTTTATAATCAAGCTTGTAAAATACTCTTAAGTAATTTAGATCATAAATTACTAAATTGTGCCACGTTTATTTGCAAATTTTTAAGTATGCACTATTAGAAATAAAAACGAAATCAAATTGACGTCACAAATATTGGTACTACATACTTAGATGCAAAGACATATACAATCGTGTATGAGTGTAATGTATAAAAAAGAAGATGTGGCATGATTGCCGATGAGGTAAGATTCACATGAGGCCAAATGACACAGAAATAACAGATATACGTCACCGTACGGTCTTCAACCATGAGCAAAGCCAATACTGCATAATCAGCTATTAAAGGCGTCAAATTAACAAATGTAGAACAATTCAGACGAAAAAATAAACGGCCTAAATAATGTACAAAAAATTTACCAAAAACATATATGTAACACAGCAACAAACGGCAACCACTTAATAACAGGCTCCTGACTTGGGACATGCATATACATACAAAGTGTGGCGGTGTTAAACATGTTAGCGGGATCCAACCATCCTAAACTTGGACAGTGGCGTAACAGAACAACATAAGAACGAACTATATATCAGTTGGTTGATAAGACTTAACTCATCAGATGCATACACATATACATGCATGTCCTTCTATGTTGTGATGTTACACTATTGTTTCAGATAAGGGTGGAGATTGGTACCTTTAAAAACGTTAAAATCCGCTGCATTTGTTTGCACCTATCCTAAGTCATAAATATGATGTTCAGTACATGTAGTTGTCGTTTGTTGATGTGATTCATAAGTTTTTCTCGTTTCTCATTTTTTTATATAGATTAGACCATTGGTTTTTCCATTCGAATGGGTTCACACTAGTCATTTTTAGGGCCCTTTATAACTTGCTGATCAATGAGAGTCAAGGCTCCGTGTTGAAGACCGTACTTTGACATATAATTGGATACTTTTGCAAATTGTGACTTGGATGGAGAGTTGTGTCATTGACACTCATACCACATTTTCGTATATCTATCTAACAAATCACGGACTGGACGTGCCCGGGACTTTTACATCTCAACATCAAAAAGACACTTAGTACAAATCTGAGAGTACCCAACGTTACTGACAGCTACTAGTAGTTCAAAGCAAATAACAAATAATAAAAAATAGTAATCATCATATGTAATCTTTCCAGGTCCATATGTATCAGTTTAAACAACATATTAAGGACAATTATCAAATTAAATGCTTTCCTATACGGGTACTAATGTTGCTGTTATTGTCTCCCTTTTTCCATATTGACGAAACATTTGAAACACACGAAAGATAAATATATTTAAATATTAAATTAAATATATTGATGCCTCTTTGTAGAGTGCACGGCCTTGAATGTAGAAAAATTTATTATCAGATTCATACAAACTGTCGTGTAAAGATTATGTGATACCACCATTCCAGTATTAACTAAATCATCGGCCTGTACACACAAGAAAAGCTTAGAAAGGGCCTGAATTTTGTTTTTAATTCTTGAATTTGGCATTTAACAATTTCTTGTATTGTTATCCTCTCGTTCCTGAACAATGTTAAAATTGTTAATGACCCATGTAAAGTTATACGACAATAAGAGTCATATATAAACCGTCCGGAACGATTTTAATGACCCATATAAAGTTTTATGGCATAATGAGTCATATATTAACTCTGTCTCATGGTAAAAAGTAAAATCACAATAATACTGAACAAGGAAAATTCAAAACGGAGAGTCCCTAATCAAATGGCAAAATCAAAAGCTCAAACAAATCAAACAAATTGATAACAACTGTCATATTCCTAACTTGTCAAAGGTGTATTATTTACGATACTTCAATTTACACCTATAGTAGCATTAGAATAACAATTACGACAACATATTAAAAAACATGGCCTGCTGTTTTGATGTTAAAAAATCAGAGCTGACAGAAACAAGAACAATAGATCGTACAACGGTGTTTGATTCATAACCTTTATTTGAAGTTTTTCAAACATTATGCAATTTTCCGACTATATTAACCATCATTTAATTCTTAGATGCAATTTAAAAACTAGAAATTTATCTTCTTTTATTAATGTCTAGAATTATTTCAGGGTAAATGAAATGACACGAAATAATGACTAAATACGACAATGTACGATTTAATTACATTATTTGCTCCAACCTTTTAGTTTAATAAAGTAAATAAAGACATGTTTGTTTTTGCATTCTATTGGAATATATTGTTTATATTTGAAAGATACATATATATGATATACAAGAAGTCGATTTGGTAGCCACAGCATTGATGTTATTAATGAAATAGAGCTACTTGATTATTGACGAAATGACCTACCAAACTAAATAACCGTTAAGTTTGTATTGTAATTGTCATTTTATATCAGGTGAAATGACATACCGTAGATTTGTATGTGTCTCAGATGTTTCATACTATAATATTTTAAACCGTGAGCTTTAAATTATTCATAATCCCGCATGCGCTCAGTATATTTGTTATGTTTTAAAGTAAATGAAAGGCGTCTTTCCGTTTTTAATAAGGACATACAATTATATTAACTTTAAATAACAGTACATATGTTACCAATGTAATCATTATATAGAAATAAGGGACCAAACCAAGCGATAAAACTATGAGTACTCTATTCATTCGTATTCTTAGGTACATCGAGAAGAAAGTTGCAGTATCTAAATATGGTTATCTGGAACGAAAGTTCGAATTAACGGAAGCTGACGGTCATCATCAGAGGTATAACTTAATCAAACAGGTATCAAACACAACCAAAACAAATTTATAAAATCGGATCATTTAGTCGCTGGCATTTTTACCAACAAAAACATAGAATAAATGTTAACAAAACCTGGGAAATATAATTCACGGTGGATCACTATTTTTCTAATCTCGTAAATCGATTTGGAACAGATAACTTACGAATGGACACACGAAATTGTGATTGGCTCGTGATCTGATCTCACATCCACAGTCACTCTCATTTCATATAAAGGAGAAAAAAGGAAATAATATTGTATCGGTTTACAAATCAAATTAGGAATCATGAGTTCTACATAAAATGCCTGTACCAAGTCAATTTTCGGACAGTTGTTTTCTATTCGTCATATTCGTTAGATGTGTTAGATGTGTGAGCTTTGGATTTTTCCATTTTATAATAGACTTTCCGTGTTAAATTTTCCCTTGCAGTTTGGTATCTTTTTTCTTTACTTTCTACAAGAACATGATGCCCAGATAGGAAAACACATTCAAACGTAAATAAACTGATCAGTGAATGTATTTTTCTTGACCTTGTACGAATAGAATAATTTATATGTGTATCAAATCTTATGCTATTTTCATTTTGTTTGAAATTAACTTTTTATATTCCAAAATGTGCACATTATTCATATTCCATTATGTGCACATTATTTATATGCCATTTGATCAGAGTCAGATTGACCTGTAAGTTTCCAAAGAAGATATATCTTGAGAAAAAAAAGCTACTAAAAATATCACCTAATTTGATATCGGACATTAGACACGCATTCTATCTACAAAAGACTCCCCATTTGCGCTCCAATCAAAACTATTGAAATGAAGACCATATCATATACAAATTTGAAATTCATTTAAAAACACGGATGAAGTAAGACAAACTTCAGTAGCATAGTACGCCTAGCCGTTGTCCTATAATTCAATTTTTTACCGCCAACCTTCACAATAATGGTACACTTATGTCTACCAAAAAGCTTCATCGTATGCAATAAATCAAATAAAAAGTTGTCGGGTGATTTAAGCAATGTTTACTTTTTTATATATCTTGTCTAATAATTGTTGATGTTTAAAATTTAAGTAAAATATTCAAAATTGAGGAAAATGGTAAAGCTCGTCAGGCAACGCCAAAAATTCAAGGGCAAGTGAACTAATGATTGACGTGAATTCAAATTTAGTTTAAAAAATTATGAGGACAATTTTACTAGTGATACACAATAGACTAACTATACCATGATAAAATTAATATCGTTACTGAATAAAGGGAACATACTGAAGTTTAAGTTATTTTCATACAGACTTATTATGTATTGACAAAGAAGGCAACAATTGAGTGTCATACATTTTATTATTAATCAAAGGCTGAAAGAAAATTGAATTGTCAAGGGAATCAATCAATGCAATGTGTTGTTTTTTCAGCCCTGCGCCAATGAGAAGAAAGAGCAAAAATGAAGGTAGAAAGATTGACCATTTTGAAGAATGTCAAAAGTAATTTTATTGTTTTTATTATATAACATAGCATACAATGATATTAAGTGTTGTTTAAAACTAAAGAAGAAGGTCCAAACATGATTTTCGTTCCCTTATCGAACATTATTATTTGTTGTGAACTTGTTGAAACGTTATATTTTTAGTTTACATTTGACATCATCAGACGAGTATTTTGATCTATCAGATATGAAAAAAATAATAAAAATTGAAAATTTATTATAAAGAAATGCTTTTTTTGTCTGTATTTTCATGACGAAATGTACAAAAATAAAAAAAAATATTTATAATATTAAAAAAGTTTATTTACTGTATTACTGGTTCATGATATTTTTTGACGGAATCTTGAGTGGTGTTTCTATCGCAATGACTTCAAAAGTATAGCTGTTTTTGTCACAACGTCCGCAAAACGTAATAGATGTCATGCTTCGCGGGTTTTTAAATTTTATATTTTGATTATTTATATCCAGTTTAGTTTGATTAAAAATAAGAAATATAAGTTATAAAATAACCCAAGTCCGAGAAAGGAAAATGAAAAGTTTAACTTCAACTGTTGACTAAATAAGATTGATATAAAAGAGGGACGAAAGATACCAGAGGGACAGTCAAACTCATAGGTTTTAATTAAATCGTAACATTTCAAAGACTTTAAATGACATTATTAGTCTCCCTTTTATTTGTTAAAGTCATACTATTGATAACGTCAATCAATTGTTTTATATTACACTTAACTATACAAGTCACATTACCTGACGATCTGTGCAAGCATCGAAAGCGCTAGATTAACAAAAGATGATAACGGTTTCAATTCATATATATATATCGAATTGTTAAAAGTCTGAGTATAGATAAATATATCTAAATACAAAAGTCCAATATTGAATGGTTAATGCATACATTATTTAATATTCACAAGTACTTTCATGTTTTACAACAATCTTCAGGTGAAAGGCGAATTATTGTAACTATGAGAGGGTAGTTAAGTAAGTAACGTCATACAACAATTACAAAAGGGAGATAAACGTTCCAAAATAAAATATGGAAAGCCAATTGTAACGCTATTGAAAGCCTAATGCGCATTTAGTTTTGGCTTTAATTTGGATATAAAATATTGTTCCTTTATGGATCTTCTAATGTCACATTCTACATTAATTTTATAGAACGGGAAAATTTTAAAAAGCCCTCTACCGCAACGATCTAAATGTTCGCTAAGAGGGATTTTCCTATATTGCGGCTGTCGGATATGTTGTCGATGAATGCGTGTTCTTTCAACTAAACTATTACCGGTTTGTCCAATGTAAATTTCTCTAGAGTGGCAGCATTCAATGCAGTAAATTAAATTTTCACTTTTACACGTCATGTTGGTATTGGCATATATCGTTTGTCGGGATTTTGTCTTAAGTTCGTTTCCAATATATATCTATGCACATGTACCACAACGAGAATCTGTGCATTTCGACACCTTGAATTGTTTTTTTTTTCCTTCGGTTGGGTCAAACTTGGCACGGGTCAATAGACGTTTTAAGTTTTTAGGTTGCCGTTTGCCTTGTACAAACATTTCTTGGTTTACAAGGGTACTTAATTTTGAATCTTGTCCAAAAATTGCTAAATTTCTCCTCGCTACAGAAAATATATTCTAGTTACGAGGATTGTGTGTGACAACAAACGGTATCTTATCATTTTCGGTAGATCTTTCACTTGTTGCCCGTAGTTGATCAACCGGGATTTGTTTAGCCATTTCAATACCTCTTTTGATTAGGCCTAAAGGCTATTTTTGTGCAACAAGTAATACTTCGAGTTCTTGCAATCGTTCATCCCTTAATTCTTCATTCTCAACTACTGTGCATATTTTCCTGGCTAGACAGTAGGGTATGTTCCTTTTTGTATGCGTTGGATGGCAAGAATGGAAGTTTAAATATTGGTGTATGTCAGTGTCTTTATAATAAATATCCGTTTTAAGATCAGTGCCTTCTTTAATAATCATAATATCCAGGAATGATAGTCTGTGCGAATTTACTTCCATGGTGAACTTTATAGATGTATGGAGACTGTTAAGAATATCAGAAAACATTTTAAGCTCTTCATCGGATTTTGTCAAAATGATAAAGCAGTCATCAAGATATCTTTTCCAGCAGGTTTCAAATTGCCTGGCCATTTCTATACCAAATTTATTCTTAATCTCCGGATACAATTTCTGTTCTAAAAACCCCATTACTAGTGTAGCGTAAGTTGGGGCAAATTTTTACCCATAGCAGTTCATCTCGTTTGTGTATAATTTTTCCCATCAAAATAAAATGTATTGTTTTCCAAACAAATTTTACAGAATCTAAAATGAAATCGATGGTAAAACGACTCGATATTGCTTCCCTGTGTTTTTCTTTCCAACATTTAACAGCTTCAATACCCAAATCATGCGGTATATATTTATACAAACTGGTTACATCGAAACGTACAAGGCGGGCATTCTCCATTGTAGTCTTTGGAAGATGTGATAAAAAATCGATGTCATCTCTAATGTAACTTGGTACATAGGAACATAAAGGTTTTAGTATTATGTCGATAAAATTACTTAGGCGGTGAGAAATATTTGTATTGTTGAATTGGTAACCTTTGAGAATAAGTTTATTTAAATCGTTTAAAAATTTCCGGTCACTGTAAACAACATTTCCGTAAAAATTAGGATGTGCTATCCCGTTTGAAATAAGTTTTCTACAGGTGCAACCAATCTTATTTTAATCGTCAATATCGCCTTATTAAAAGGAACGTTGTGTAACGCTCAGTAGTATCAACATCGTGCGCAACTTCTTATACTTACCCTGTATGTTATCAATATATAATACTTTTTTCAAATCTAATTCAGATCTAAAAAGACTGATCACCATCAGAAAGAACAGCCACATAAAGCTGAGGAAGACTGCCAAACGTTACTAAATATGTAAGAATACTTAACATGTACCGTGTAGTGGACATTTTTTAAATGAAAAAAGATAAATAAGGTGTTACGTTTGCAGTTTGCGATCGCTGTGACATAAATCATGTGTTCTAACTTCTATTCGATTATATCCGATTCATACGAGAAGCATTTTTCCAAGAACTTCACCAATACATTTGACCAAAATATATCTTTGTATATGAGACATGTCATGTTAATTGATTGTGATTTAATTTTTTTTTCTATTATCTATATATTCATCACAATCATATTGATACATACGGACAAGCTTCCATTTTTCATATTTGTATACAAACTGGTTACATCGAAACGTACAAGGTGGGCATTCTCCATTGTAGTCTTTGGATGATGTGATAAAAAATCGATGTCATCTCTAATGTAACTTGGTACATAGGAACATAAAGGTTTTAGTATTATGTAATAAAATTACTTAGGCGGTGAGAAATATTTGTATTGTTGAAATAAAATTTCACCGTTGAAGTTTTTTATAAACTGTTGTAATAGCAACGAAATACACAAAACCGTTTCATATAGGTATATTCCTATATTCTTTTGAAGTTATGTTCATTTTGTATATTAACCTAGTACGTAAACCTTCGCATCGTCTCACCTTCAAACGATGTGTGTAGACAGTTGAATACTTGATCGCTTTGAAATATAATCATTTTACAGCGGTAGAATAAACAATACCGGTTGTTATGAAGAAATTAGAAACATCGCTTTCATTTTTTTTTCAATATGTTAAACAATAGGTATCGTCATACACGTCTCAAGTATTTGTGTTTTTTTTTTCTTATTTCAGTATATCATAAAAATCATAGTAACTATTTCTTAATGTATTGTTATCTATTTGTATATTTTCTCTGTAGAATTAATGAACAGAGGAACAAAATTGAAACTTTGGAGAAAGAGAAAACAGAATATGAAAACGAATTGGAATATCTCCAGAAGCTGTGAGCTAACAAATTCTTTATAGCAATCATTTAAATTTTTAAGTGTATATTATAAAGCTTCCATCACTGCATCAAGTGTAATACGATATTTATCTACTCGAGACAGTTAAATTTTCAAATTTAAAACTCATTGCTTTCCGAGTGTTTCAAACATTTAAAATTAATTGTCGAGAGTTGATAAATATCGTATTGCACGACATTTGGTGGTGGAATCTATTTCTGTTCTGATTTTAAGGCCATATACAGAAAATCATAACCCTTCTTTTTGAATGATCTTGAAAATGATGAACTATGACAGACTAAGATCAAACGAATCACAGGTTGATTAAATAGAAATAATCAACAGATCAGGAAAACGACCAATCGTTTCAGAATTATATAAAGTATCTAAGCATTGCATCACAGTTAAAATCACTATTCATCAACGTCATTAAACGTCACTTTCAAAATACTTCAAATAAACACAGTTTTATTTCGTTCTAAAGTTCAACCTGATAATGAAAATTTGTTAAACCATAGTTGAACTTAAATAATTTCACACACCATGAAGCCGAGTTGAATTGTAAGTTAGTAATATGGAAATACGTAAACAGGTTAACCTAGCAATCGTGTATTACTTGAAATAACTATGAATTAGTTCACATTTTCAGTAATGTGCAATTTCACAATAATTGCAATCTAAAAGATACAATGTTTCACTATGACTAACTATAATATTAAAATTTGCTGTTAAAAAATGCTGGACATCATTGTATCAACTTCCATTCAAATCCACATTCCGCAAAAATATCCCAATCAGGAATGGCACCCTGTAGGGAATATAACAGAATAGACAATTTAGCTGGAATATAACAGAATAGACAATTTAGCTGGAATATAAAGATTCGAGACCGCAAAAAACTTTTTTTATAGTGAATTGAGCCAATCAGGAATGGCACCCTGTCGGGAATATAACAGAATAGACAATTTAGCTGGAATATTAAGATTCTAGACCGCAAAAAACATTTTTTTTTGTGAGTTGAGTCAACCAGGAATGGCACCCAGTTGTGAATATAACAGAATAGACAATTGAACTGGAATATTAAGATTTGAGACCGCAAAAAATATTTTTTATAGTAAGTTGAGCCAATCAAATCGGGTGAATGTCAGTCATTCTTCCCCAAAACTATATTTGTCAGTATTATTAAAAGAAAAACCCCTTTTTTGCGAAGTTCATAAACTGTGAACCTTGTTAATGTTTATTAACTGAGATCTGTTACCTCCTTCATGTCCTTAGGCCGGATCAGAGGATATGATACTGCTGACGAGTTAACTGATTGGAATTAGTATTTGTATTAATCGTATTAGTCATTGATTCTAGTTTGAAGTCAATCGACTGTGTCAATATGAATGAAAAGATCAATATATGAAGCGGAACTTCTAATTATGATAGTACCTTTGGGAAAGATCACATGTAAGCATTCATAGGACAGTAGGTATTTTCAGTTACAAGATATCATCTTTACCAACGAAAAAGAAATGTACACATATTACACGATGTTTTTTTAAAGGTTCTGTGTGATCATTGCTTCATTTGAGTCCAAAGGCGAATCGTACAGTAGTGGTGCACACTTATGTACCCATTTGTATTCACTGTAGGAATACAAATATACAAACATCAGCAACTATGAAATCGATAGAATAGTCCGGCATTTTGATGATGATATTGTCGGTGTATTTATTGTTAGAAACAATATGGTTCTTTACAAAATAAGATCTGTGAAGACCCCTAAATAGGAAGTCATATCTACATGATATACGCTTCCCTTATTTTGTAGAAATAAACTCGGGTTTAATGAGACAATATTGAAAAGTCAAGATTTGATATTACATAGATCGAAACATTTTGGAGTAATATTTAGAATACGTTACATCAACAACACTGTTGGTTCTATAAGCTTTAACAAAACATTTCTCAAGGTCATCTTTTACTGTAGACATATGTTTAGTTTCTGTTTTGATAAAATATTCCAGACAGAAACTGATGTTCAATAATGATACGTATACAACTGGCATATTTCGGGAAGGGAGCAAACTTGTGGTTTCCAGCGTCGATACGTCAAAGTTCAAGGTTGATGTTACTGAATTGTGATGTTTTTTGAAATAATGATTACAGAAAGTAACGTTATGTTCGTTTAAAAGTTTTAATTACAATTAACGAGTTAAATGCACTGCCCATTATTTTATTTACAGAAATTTAAAATCAAAAGAAATGAACATTGGACTCTTTGGTGAATCTTGGCTTGATCCTCGCTGCAATAGTAGTAAGTGTCACAATAAATAAAAAGATGAAAAATTACAAATCATGCCATATTGAAATAACTTAAGCAAAATATTCAGATATTTTGGAAATTGCAATATACTAACTTTAATTTAAGCTTTTTATTTTGCCATTTGATTAGTGACTTTCTTTTTTTAATTTTCTTTGGATTTCAGTATTTTTGTGATTTTACTTTTTAACCTTCTCAGTACAAATATTCTACCAAATACACAAAATCCGTATAGTCTTCAACAATACATACTAATAAACATTACATTTGTCTTTATTCAATAACATCTATCAATAGTAGGTCATAGTTTACACATTAATTTATATTAAATTGAAACAAAACGATATTTTCCCCTTTTGAATAGGTTTGTCTTCTTTTTGAAATAATTACTCAAATGATACTCGTAAAATCTTCCTCATTTCAAAGCCTTTTAGTAGGTTAAACAATTATATAATCTACAAATTACTCTATGTGTAGCAAATATATTACAGAAACAGCATACGTCATTGTCAGACACAATCGGGTTCGAACTTTGTAATCATTTTCAATTGATAATATATCAGAAAAAAGCATAAAAATATACATGCAGGTGATGAATACAAATCTGGAAGGATGAGCAAACAATTTGATATAGGTAACCTACAAATATTTTAGAATACAACACAACTAAGTCTGAGGACATATAGAATCAAGAAATGATAGAAGATGTCTATTTTGGTATACTTTAGTCAATGCTTGATATCATTTGCTATAAAATAATATTGTAAAACCTGTTGTAAATAGTTGACAAATTTAATTGAAACATATTAGAACATATTTTTGTAAATTTGAGGTTTGAATTTGATTTAACACTTGATAACTGCATGTTTCATTTTTTTTTTTAAATGCAGAGCTTCATGTTGAACTACGATGTGAATATTCCTCATGTAATACCTCTGATCGTGCACAATGTAAGTGATACGATAGTATATGTAAATGCAAATAAAATAAAATCATCATAGATACCAGGATTGAAATTTTGTATTTCCGTCAGACGCACGTTTCGTGTACAAAAGACTCATCAGTGACGCTCAAATCCCAAAAAAATAAAAGGCAAAATAAAGTTCAAAGTTGAAGAGCATTGAGGACCAAATATTCCAAAAAGTTTTCCTAAATGCAGATTAGGTTCTATTAATCTATTCATGAGGTAAAAAAGCCTTAGTATTTCAAAAATGTAAAGTTTTGTAAACAGTTAATTTATAACTATGACCACATCAATAATAATTCATGTCAACACAGAAGTTCTGACTGCGGGGCTCGGGGAATAACAACGCCGCAAGCAGTGGCATCGACCCACGTTAGCCCAAATGTATATAAACAATTCATTCTTATTAACAGTATACATACTCTA